TACATGAGAGAAGATCCCTGTCTTTTTTGAACTGGTGAGACCAGGACTAGACATGGTATTCTAAATGTGGCATCACTAGGGCAGAGATCCCAACATTAACTGCCATCTGTCTGAGAGTCCCATTCACAGAGCATTTGCCCAGGAAGTGAGGTCTGTGTGCACCACTTCTCAGCTAAGGAGTGACATGCATGCTCAGCATCCTTTACATGCGATCTTGGTCCCTTACCAGCAGGTAAGGATGTATTCTGGTTGGATGCACTATCACAACCTCACCTCGAAGCTTGTTCACTCTGCAGGCAGGCACACTAGACCTACACCAACACTGTTCCCAAATTATGGCTCTAGTTCCCATAGACCAAATGCACTTAGATCCCGACAAATGCACTTAGATCCCTCCAGTCTCATGCTCACCATTTTCCAGGGTAGCTAGCTCTAGCCATAGCTGGCTTTATGCTTACTTTTATCACGAGACAACTTCTGGAGGTGTTTCCTAACCTGAATGTCTGTAGGAGGTGAAATCTTTCAGAAGTGAAAAATCTCTGACAGCAGTGTGGAAGTCTCTCTTAGCTACTGAAGAGGACTAGGCATCTACATCTTGCATGCAGTACTGCATAGCAGGGGGTGCTGAGAACATACTCCGCATCTCTCTTCTTCTGGCCTTCCTGCCACTCTCTGTGCCCATGTCCCACTGGGTGGCAGGAGGCCTTCTTTGAACTTAGCAAGAAGACTTGATGAGGAGAGCAATCCTTTGCAGCCTAGCGCTGAAGTTTCTGTATTACTGTTCTATGCTGTGTGGAGGTCGCTGTGTATGCAGTGGGGCTGTGTGGGTAAAGTACATATGAGCAAATCTTGTGGTTAATCTTTGAGGATTGCGCTAGAGGAGAAAGGAAAACTTGTCAGGCTCTACATGCTTTATGCATCCCTGATCATTCTCATTAGCTGCTCCTTTCCCAGCTCTCTCCAGGCCTTCCTTCCTTACCTCTGCAGCCCCCACCTGCTCTGCCCCGCTGGCAGCCCTAGCTGGCTGCTCCAGCTAATCCCTTCAGCTGATGATTGAGTGACTTCCTTAAGGTCTCCTGGCGATAGCAGGACTCATGGAGCAACCAGAGAGCAAGAAGTCTGTGCTGCTGAATGGGTGAAGCTCTCTGATTTCCTCATTACTTAAAAATATATATATATGTTTTCATGATTTTCAGCGTGCAACTACTGCTGTTGGCCATGCTGCTGTTATGGTAAAGTCTGTCTAGACATCGGTTTGCTCCATAGCTCCTGCTGGACACCCTGACATAGAATGCCCAACCTCTGCTGTAGCAACATTTCTGCTGCTCTCAGCGTAATAGGAGAGCTCAGAGGAACGTTAGCACTGGACAAGCAGAAATGTCAGAATGCGACTCTGTGCAAAACCTTTCATCCCTACCCTTCTGATAGGATGTGACTAGACCCTGCAGGTGGTAAGAAAACATTTTCCATATTAAAAGAGCATTTATCAGTTCAGTTTAGACTTGCTAAGGTGCATTCTCTCAGTGCTTCCTGCAGAATGTGTTTACTCCATATTTTTGATGGATCATCCAGTTGGGAAATGTGCCATTAAACTAACACTATCAATAAGTGTGCCTGAAGGAATGAGGTGAGAGAACTGATAGAAGCAATAAACGCTTTGTCAGGAAGAATTATTTAGGGTCATAATGAATGAGACTTAAAACCCACAGGTTGAAAATGATTGTGAGTCACACATTCTTTGCTATGGTGAATGCAATCAAAACTTCCTTATCTGTGACCACTTGTAAAGACAAGCTAAAGTCACAGACTGGTTATGAAGGAATTATGATGGCCTTGCAATGCCTTGTCCCTTGTGCTCAAATTCAGAAACTAATTTCTGCAGCTCGGAATGCAGTTGTGATTTACCTTCACTGAATGTCAAGGAAGGTGAACGAGTCTGTCATAAGAGGAGCACTGGTGACAGATACATTGTGAAGTAGCTTCCTACAGAGTGGTATTCTTGGAAGTTCCTAGAATGACTTAACTGAATACAAGAGGCAAACAAACTCCATAAACTGTGATCAGAAAATGGGCAGATTTCAGATGGATATCACAGGTGCACCATTACTGAGACTCCTCCTTTCTGCAGCACTAACAGCAGTGGAAGAGGTCTGGGCAGCACGTACTGGCCAACAAGATGGCATTCAAGATGCCCTTTCCATAATTCAGCAAAGCAGCTGAGGGGCTCCTGTTACAGAGCAGGTGAGTGGGGTGTGCAGGCAAGGAGACCACTGGATCAAAAAAATCATGGAAACAGCAAGTGGCAGGAATCGGGGAAGAGGAAGGAAGGGGAAGGAAAGGAGAGAGGGAGCATGATATTACTCCCTGCGGGCAACATAGAATGAGCTGTACTTTTGATATCAAAGGTCCCTGTGGCTCAACTTTCTGTCTTTGAAAGCGATGCCCAGGAAGGAGAGATATGTTGCCTAAGGCAATGTAGAGTGACATTTCATCAAAACTCATCCAGTTGCCAGCAATTTGGATTTATGGAACCCCTGAATAGGATATGATATCTGGGTATTCAGTAGCTCATGATGAATTTCAACAGATTAATTGGTCCAAATATTTTTTCAACCTGTGGACTGTTCTATGAATGTATGGCATATTGCTGTGATGCACTACTGAGGATAACTCAGAGAAAAGCAGACAAGCAAACGTAGTTTTTTTCACTTTGTTACTATCTTTGACTGAACACTACAAATAAATATATTCTTCACACTTCTAAATTTCATACGAAATCACACATTTGAGGAAGCAAAAATACTGATTAAACTACAGAGAATATCTACAAAATGTCTCAATAGAGTATTCTACAGTTAATCTACACTCATAGTAAGCCCACAGTTTGCTTCTTAGTAACCTGATGCATTTTGTCCACAGTCCTATCTGTCTCAAAACTCTCTACTCTTAGAAATATGGTTCTGCATTTGAGGGAAATTAGAGAAAGAAAGTACCTCTTTTTGTACACACTTTTCTTAGTTACATGCCAGATCAATCAGGAAAGGCAAGGAGAATTCAGCTTTTGAATTGTTTTTTTTTTTCCTCATGTTGTCAAGTAGTTTATTCCCCTAATACAGAATAGCGCTTACGTGCTCAGGAAGTACACGTCCCTCTAGTCCAGGAGTTCACGGATCGCAGGTCCTCTGCTGTTAGGCAGCAATTCTGTTGGAACATATGCACTGTATCTATTTTAAACTTTCTTGCAGAGATGTTCCTTTATGGCCATTTAGGAGCAGTGTTTTCCCCCTGGTCAGTTAGTGCTTGTCAGCTGGCAGGCAGCACAACTCCATAAATAGTGTGTCAGTGCAAAAGGCTGTTATTCTGCAGTGATGGCAGTAGGAGCGAGGAAGGAATCCTTGGTGTCCCTCTCCTTGATATGCTACTTGGGCTCTGATAATTCGTCATCATTTATGGCCTCCCCAACTGAATTGTACTGTTAGTTCAGAAGAAAAGAAACTGTGAGAATGCCTGGTTTTCTTTTCACATATTCTATCAGTATTTAATATACATAGTTTAGACTAGTGTACTGATACATAGCACTGTTAGGGACATCTTTACAATTTGAATAGTTCTGAAAAAATAGTTTCCTAGTAGGTCCATAAGAAGAATCAGAGTTCTCATTTTAAACAGGTGTTTACAGTCTCTCTTATTAAAGGCAATAAGTTTATCTGTTTTGAAAATTGATGTTTTTATATACCTCAGAATGCAATCCCCAAACAAACCTTGCTGTTCAGGTAGGCAAATAAACAGAACCCAAAAATGGGAACTCTCTCTGACTGGAAAAAGAAGCTTTTTATAGATAATATATATGACAGATATAACACTTCCACAGAATTTTGTTAGGTATTACAAGGCAAACTCAGACATATACACCTTCTCAGAAACTACGGCAGCTTTTCCACACAGGATTAGTAACTATAAAATATAAATGTAAAAATAGACATGATGATCATCACTATTTCAGTTGTAGGAAAACTGATTTACTTACTATTATATTATTATATTATTATATTATTATATTATTATATTATTATATTATTATATTATTATATTATTATATGAACTTACAAAAGTTCATATAATACCATTCACTTTCTAGGCAGCCCTTGACAGATGTTTATCTAACCATTCAAATCATAGGCCAAAGGAGATTATGCTAGACTATAGCTACTCTCATTTCTCATTCAAATACTTCATAAATCTTTACTCCACATCATATTTAATGCAAATTAAACAGTTATACTCTTGATCACAGAAACAACCACCTACAACCTTTAATTAAAATATTTTCCATTTTAGAAAATTATTTCTGTACTCCCATACAAGTCTTTACTTTTCTTATATCTTGATTTAACAACAAACATCAGTATATAATCCTTCATAAATCATCCTCTTTTTACTTGTAATTCCATCTCCTCTCCTCCCTATACTACTGAAAAATTTTCTCTCAAAAAAAACGTTTTTCAAAAGTGTTCTATGCAATCACCAAATAACCCACTCCTGAGAAAAACAAACATTCACTCTGTTTGGCATCCCTTCCCTCCTGTGTGAACTACACCACTTAGCATAATGTCATCAACCAACTAGCTGAGGGTGAACTCAGTCCCACTGTCCATATCCCCAGCAAAGATGTTAAATAGTGTCAATACCAGCACCAACCCCTGAGGAATACCACTCTTCATTGACTCCCACATGGACACAGATCCATTGACTGCAACTCTTTCAGTGTGACCACCCAGACAATTCCTTGTCCACCAAGTGGTCCAACTGTCAAAGCTATGTTTCTCCAATTTATAGATTCCGTGTCTTCCAGTGTCAGATGTGTCACACAAGTAAAGGTAAACGATGTCCACTGCTCTTCCTCTATTTGCCAACACTGTAAGTTTGTTGTAGGCAGACACCAAATTTGTCAAAGATTATTTGCCCTTAGTGAAGATGTGTTGGCTGTCAGTAGTTGTGTCTTTTTTTTTTTTCCATGTGCTTTAGCATACTCTTTTCAGGAGGATCTATTCCATGATCTTGCCAGGCACAGAGATGAGACAGATTGAGCTATAGTTCTTCAAAGCCATCTCTTCTTTCTTTCCTTTTTAAAAATTGTTTTGTTTTTTTTTTTCCCCCCCACTTTTCCAGCCAGTGGGAACTTCACCAGATTGCCATGTATTCTCAGATATGATGGACAGTGGTTTAACAATTTTATTCACCAGCTTCCTCAGGACTCTCAGATACATCTCGTCTGTTCCCATGGACTTGTACACATTCAGATTCCTTAAACCGTCTTGCTCCTGATCATCTTCTACAGTGGGCAGTTCTTCATTCTCCAGTCTCTGCATTTCAGTTCTGTGAGATGAGTGGTGAAGACTGAGGCAAAAAAGTCATTGGGTACCTAAGCCTTCCCCATACCATGGATGATCAGGTCTCCTGTTTCCTTATGAAAAGTGCCCACATTTTTCCTAATCTGCCTTTTATTACTGACACATTTTTAGAAGCCTTTCTTGTTGCCCTTGACATCTCTTGCCATATTCAGTTCTATCAGTGCCTTAGTTTTCCTAACCTGATCACTGAGTGCTCAGGCAGTGTCTCTCTATTACTCCCAAGCTACCGATCCTTCCTTCGATATTCTGGAGGTTTTCTTTTCATGTTTGACTTTGTCCAGGAGCATCTCCTTCATCCCTACAGGCATCCTGTTGCTTTTGCCCAACTTCTCTTTGTTGGGATGCATCACGCCTGTTCTTGGAGGAAGTGATCCTTGAATATTATCCACCTTTCTTGGGTCCTTCTTCCCTCCAGGGCTTTATCCCGCAGTACTGTACCCCTGAAGAGGCCAACATCTAATTTCCTGAAGCCTAGTTGTGAGCTTCCTCTGTATCCTCCTTACTGCTATAAGGATCTAAAATTCCACAGTGTCATGGTCACCATCCAAGTAATCATAATATTCTCTGTGTAGTGAAAATGGCATCTCATGTGTTGGTGATCTTACATCGTTCCCAAGTGTGAAAGTGAACATCACTGCTTTTAAATGCAAAAGAATGATATGAAATAATGTCTTTCATTTGCTCTTTGTTCTTTCATTTGCTCTTTGCTGGCTATAGTGAATTTTATGCTAGGAACTTCAGTCCGTATGGACAAAGGTCTATTCCAGACTCATGCTGGGAATAACTTTTAATTAAAGTACAGCTGGGCAGCATGGACACTTCTGCTGTGCTCCCAACTCAAACTGCCATAAATGTCCTGGAACCTTCACACACCTGTCCCTGAAAACCATATAGTGTAGGTGTCGGGTCCTCAGCACCTGCTTCTGCCCCACTGGCAGTCTCCTGTCATGCCACTTTTCTCGCTAGAGGGGAGATAGCCTGTGGTTCAGTGCCTGTTAGTGACTGCTGCTCACAACAACTGTCTCCCAGATCTGCTGGGAGAACTGCTCACAGATCTCAGAGGGAAAAGAGAACCTCACATACTATTCTTCTCACACACTCCTAGGGCACCCTCTGCAAGATGACGCTTCAGGACAGGAGAGGCAGAGGAGGGAGATCAGAGTCAGGATTTCTTCTTCCCACTGTGACAGGTGTTCTAGAGTCCCAGCCTCTCCTGTAGAGCCCTGCACAATAAAGATCCAGCCAGAGCACAGCTTCCAGAAGAGCTGCTAGAGTCGCACTCCCCTGTGGATCAGTCAGGTGTTTGGTGGAGCTGGCAGCTCAGTTAATGCCTCATACTGGCCTTCCAATAGTCCCATGCTTCAGAGAACCCATGCGGTGTCTTTTCTCAGCAGAGGAACCAATGCAAATGAGGCCTTGCACAGAACAAGTATCTGTTCATGTCAGCTCAATCTCTTATGTATTAATTAATGACTGTTGAATTGAGGCATTCTTTGGTCCAGACCACCTGTCTTTGTCCTGGTCTAGTGGGTACAAAAAGTTGGGAGACAAATCTAGTAAGATTTCAACCCATTTGATTGAGTTTGGTGATAACATCTGGGCCAGGTAGTTTCACCAGGTTTAGAAGAGTTTAGCTTTCCGTGAGAGCTGG